TCTCTCTCTCTCTCTCTCTCTTCTCTCTCTCTCTCTCTTTACTTTCTCTCTTTCTCTCTTTCTCTCTCTCTCTCATCTCTCACTTCTCTCTCTCCTCTCTCTTCTCTCTATCTCTCTCTCTCCTTCTCTCTCCTCTTCTCTCTCTCCTCTCTCTCTCTCTCTTCTCTCTCCCTGTCTCGCCTGTCTCCTCTGTCTTCCCTCCCTCTCTTCTCTGCTCTCCCTCTCTTCTCTCCTCTTCTCTCCCCTCTTCTCTCTCCTCTCTCTCCTCTCTCTCCTCTCTCTCCTCTCTTCCTCTCTCCTCTCTCTCTCCTCTCTCTCTCTCTCTTCTCTCTCTCTCTTCTCTCTCTCTCTCTCCGCATCCACTCTTCTCTCTCTCTCTTCTCTCTCTCTCTCTCTCCTCTCTCTTTCTGCTCTCTTCTCACTCTCTCTCTCATCTCCTTCCTCTCTCCTACTCCCCCCCCTCTTCCTCCCGCCCCTCAGTACCACACACCCCTCTCTTCTCCTTCTCCTTTCTCCTCTCCTCTCCTGCTTCCTCTTCCTCTCCTTCTCTCTCCCTCTCCTTCTACCACTCCTCCCTTCCCTCCCTCCCTCCCTCCCTCCACCTCACCCTCACCTTCTCTCCCTCTGTCCCCCCTCCTCTTTCTTTTCATTCTTTTTCATTTCCTCTCCTTACCCCTCCCCACATTATTTCTTCTCTCGTTTCCATTCTCCGCTTTTCCTCACCACGTTCCTCTCTTCCCCTTTCCTCTGTCCTCCCTTCTTCTCCCCCCTCTGCTCCCTCTCTCCCCTCATCTCTCATACTTCTCTCTCCTCTCTCTCTCTCTCTCTCTCCTCCTCTCTCTCTTCTTCTCTCTCATCTCTCTCTCTCTCTCCTCTCTCTTCTCTCTTCTCTCCTCTCCCCCCTCTCTCCCCTCTCTCCTCTCTCCCCCTCTCCACCTCTCTTCTCCCCTCTCCCTCTCCTTCCCCCTCTCCCTCTCTCTCCCCTCTCCACTCTCCCTCTCCACGACTTTCTCCCTCTCCTCTACTCTCTCTTCTCGTTCTCTCTCTCTCTATTCTCTCATCTCTCTCTTCTCTCTCCGTCTCTCACTTTCTTCGCCGTGCTACCTCTACCTCCTCCTCTCCATCTCTCATCTCCCCGCCCCATCTCTCATCTCCTTTCTACTAGCTTCTCTCTATACTCATCCTCTCTCTCTCCTCCCTCTTTTCTCTCCTCTCTCTTTCTCTCTCTCTCCCTCTCCCTCCCCCTCCCCCTCTCCCCCCTCCTCTCTCCCTCTCCCTTCCCCCCTCTCTATCCCTCTCTCTCCTCTTCCCTCCTTCCCTCTCGTCTCCCTCTCCCTCTTCCTCCCTCATCTCCTTCTCCCTCCCTCCCCCCTCTCTCTCCCTCTCCCTCCCTCTCCCCCCCTCCCCTTTTTTTGTTTGTTTCTTTCTTTCTTTATGCTCCTCTATGACATATTGAATATTCCCTCATACTGCTTGGGGGTGTGCAAATCTAATTTTGGACAACACTGGTGTATAACAATATTTTAAGGTATATCTATCTGTATTTGTGTGTTTAATGGGTGTATCGTGTTGTTGGTTTTTTTTTAATTTGTTTTTGCACTTTTGGTGTTATTATTATCAGTTGATGACAAAAAGGACCAATGATGTCATAAATAGAGAGCTTGTATAATTGTATTATGTATATTGAATTATATTAATTTTTCTGTCAAAAATAACTTCACATTCTTTAAAGAAGTACATTTTCTAGATTTTAGCAGTGGTAAGTGACCTGCATGCCTTTGAGCCAACATGCATGGAGACCCTAGAGTTCTATGTCTGCCTGGAGCAGCTGCTAAGCTCGACCGATGCCAGGTCGCCTCTAGCCTGGAAGATCATAAGCCTCTTAGCTCACATATGCCGTTCACCAACCATACGCATAGCTCTGAGGTAGGGATGGTTGTTTTCCATCTTGTTGAAATTTGTATTTGATATTGCCTTGCTCTGTAAGGCTTTTGTGATTTACTAGATGGTATATATCAGCTTGCCTTCATGTGCCCTTGTTTTTTGGAATAGATTTTGCTGTTTCTTTCTTTCTTTTTCTGTTATTTGTTGTTGTTTTTAAATATAATAATTGTCCCTTGTATATGATAAAAACATTTCTCTTTTTGCAGAGACGAGATCAAGCTGATGCCCATCTTAAGTGAATATTTGATTTCTTCAAAGTTAAGCAAAGATAAAGCTGGCAAAACATTACAGTTGCTTCAAGAAATATCTTACAGGATAAAGGTAAGGGAAGGCCATCATCTGTGGTGAGTGGAAAGATGATGCCGCAGTGGCTTTTAAAACAAGGCTTTCCTCATTTCTGTCACCTGTGTTCTGGCCAGAAATTTGCCGTCCACAAGCTCAATCTTGTTAGAATATATATGGGAAGAGAACTAACAGGTTCAAAGGCTACTGTTTGCCAGTGACAGGCATGCTGGTGTTTTCTGACACTTGAGTTATTTTTTCCATAGGTTTCAGTTATTTTTTACAACCTGTAAGAATTCAGATGTGATATGGATGCACTAAGTTAGGGCAAATTGGAAATTAGAGACTTGTAGAGGATAGAAAGTTGCAGTTATCGGTACAAGAAATAATCTGCAGACATGAATGGTAACGCTACAAATAAAGGAAAAATATTACGGAAAGTGCCACTCTCAGCCAAAATCCACTCAGTGCTCCTGAGTTTCAGCTCTAACTTGCAGTGCATACAGAGGGGAAGACCATATTTCCTGTGGGGTGTTCCCCATCAACCTTCCCCTCAGGCAGTGCCTGAAGGCAACTTAGGTTAATTAATTAATTTTTTGACATGGAGTTGGGGAATTAGTCTGGTGTGTCCATGCTGTAAAGAATTACCCAGTGCTGTACCAATTAGTGCTTGGTACACTTCATCTGAAGTTCGTGAGATTACTGTGTCAGCAGTTGTGCATCTTGACTTTGAGAGAATTCAAGAAACCTGTATTCAAGGTTCATGTGTGCCTGCAGACCCTGAACTGATGCCTTGTGTTAATGTTCCTAATCTTATGTTTTTTGTTGCCTAATATTTATGATAATGTTAAATGTTGTTTATGTCAAAATTTTATTTTCTATATTAAAATATGAGAGGATTGATATCACAAAGGAATTTGAAGCTCCCTGCAAAAGTATAAGTGCATATAAATTTTCAGATTTCACGTGCTGAAGCTTGGGTGCTTCAACTGGTGCCCATCTTGGTAGAAATGATGCTTGACAGTAGCAGTGGGGATGACCTACTTGTACCAGCTTTAACCACACTTGCAAATCTCTGTCGTTCCAACCCCCCAGTCCTCACCTGCTTGCAGAATAATGGAACCCACAAGGTATGCCTGTGTTCTTTGGTTTAACTTGTATTGCAGATATTGAAATGCTGTAAAAGGAATAGTGCCCTCTAACCTCACATTGTTAGCCACTGTTTAGAAAAGCAGAAAAATGGTATGGAATTTGTAATGAACTTTTAAAATATTGACGATGGACATCAATATATTATTGACTGTGTTTTAATAGGTATATTCATTATTCCAGGAGCTGATACAGAAGTTGCTTCATATGAAGAACCCCAGTATAAACCTGCAGCTCCTCACAGCTGAACTAATTCTCTATTTGGAGTTGGAGTTACCCAGATTAGAAAATGAAAATTCATATGTATGTGTTTTGTGACTGATATTGCTTTTCTTGATTTTAGAGGACATTTTGACTGTGTATGAAGATATATGAATAACACAGTATTCTTAGTGCTAAAAGCTACCCAAGAGCTGTTTAGTGTATAGATTACTGGAATAACAATGATCAGAAACTAAAAATTTAGCAAAGGAATTCCATACTTCAGAAGATTTCTCTCTTCTGCTGTACAATGACTGTATATATCCGTTCATGCTGTGCTAAATATACCTGCTAACTATGCTTACTTTTTCATTTGTGAATGTTTTTACTGTACAGGTAGAGCGTATCTTGGGCTTGATATTTACAGCTGCTACAGATGGTTTTGCGGAGAATAACCTCTCAACCTTACGACTGGCAGCAGACATCTTCGGAGAACTCTCATCCTTTCATAGTTTAGAGGAGTCTATTAGAGAGTAAGTACTTATTTATTTATTTGATTTGTTTTTTCATCCCTTTTGTAGCAATAACTACTTTATTCTTAATTATGTTCTTTTGCAGAGAATGAGAGTTCACTTTTATTAAATATTTCTTAAGACATATTAATTAATCATCAATTGATATTGCTAAGAGAACCTAGTAAAGTGTCTTTACTATCCTATAGTAAAAGCAGAGTAAAGATGTGGACAGTGTCAGAAATAAATAAATAAAAAGATAAAGCAAAGTATTGCAGGTCTTTATAACTCAGTTTATTACTCTTCCTCCCAGGTACAAGAACTACACAACAGGCATCCAGACACTCCTCAACTTCCTGAACAGTGACAGCCCTGTAGAGTCGGTGGAGGTGCTTATGGAGCTTCTCTTTTACATAGTGGACTTGGGGCTCTCACATTTACAGAAGTTGCACGAGGACATTTTCCTGAAGTATGTTGGCCTATGTTGATTCTCTCCTTTTCCATATCCCACCCCCCTTTCTCTTCTCTCTCTCTCTCTCTCTCTCTCTCTCTCTCTCTCTCTCTCTCTTCTCTCTCTCTCTCTCTCTCTCTCTCTCTCTCGTCTCTCTCTCTCTCTCTCTCTCTCTCTCTCTCTCTTCTCTCTCTCTCTCTCTCATATCTCTTCTCATCTCTCTCTCTCTCATTCATCTCTCTCTCATCTCTCTCTCTCTCTCTCTCATCTCTCTCTCTTTCTCTCAATCTCTCTCTCTTCTCTCTTCATCTCTCCTCTTTCTATCTCTCTCTCTCTCTCTCTCTCATCTCTCTCTCTCTCATCTCTCTCTCTCTATCTCTCTCTCTCTATCCTCATCTCTCTTCCGTGCTCTCTCTCTATCTCTTTCTTCTCTCTCTCTCTCTCTCTCTCCGTCGTCGAAT